TGTATAAAGTAATGTAACTTTTTTTTGTAAGATAAATTTGTAACTTTTAATAATATTATTAAACTTCTAGTAAAAGTTATTTAAAACTTTTTTAAAATTACTTCACATTAATAAGCAATACTTAAAACATAATTAAGTGTGGTTAAGTAGTGGAAATAATAAGGCTGATAATTTTTTATAAAAGAAATTCTTATTTACCTTCACAAAATTATCATCATCTTTTTATTTTTATAAAATTTTGAGAAATAAATCTTTCTTTTTATTATATTGTATTTCTATTACTTAAATCATCGATTTTAACAAGAAGCTTTTAATTTAAATACATTCAATCTCTCGTAGTATCCAAAAAAATTCTATCAGTTATCCTATCCCTCTAGATGGGATAATAAAATAGAGATAGAACAGTGCTCAAGGGCTGAAGCAATTAAACCTTTTGAAAGGAATAATTTCAACATTTTTTTTTATGTAACTGTATAACTGACCATTATTGTATTCTTTTAAAAGGTTTTTTAGAGTTGTAACAGAATGGTTCCAGTTGAAAATGTAGAATCAAATGAGAGCTAAAGTACTATAAACGACATTTGAAGAGAAAATGCAAGTCTAAGAGAAAATAGTTAACTTTTAGAAAATGTATGTTCAACTTTTTGACAATGATGTATATTTTTGCCAGAAGAAAATTGGCTACAAAGACTAGCTTGTTGCCATCTTGTTTGCTCAAAAATAGAGAGATGTATTTTTGAAGTTGGTAAATTTACTAACAAAAACAACAAAAGTTAGTCGACTTCTCTGAGAGTTATTAAATAACAAAAAAATTCTTTGGAATGTCAATAGATTTTATGCAACAATTTTATCTCTTCTTGTCACTTGTTTAATCATCAAAAATGAATGATGTTACAAGAAGTAGAATGATTAAATTTATTTTGATAGTTAAAACAATTTGTAAGTATAATAAATTGCATAAATAAAGTTATAAAATAATTGAATATATTCATCATAGAATTCAAGATGTGAATCAAATTTATTTTAAATAACAAAGTTTTTCATTTACTTCACTTAACAGTCTTTGTAATAATTGGATTCGAAGTTTAAATGAATGCATTGAATATTTCATTTTGATATTTAGGGTAACCATTTTCCAGACATTCATTGTATTATAGGCTTTAACTTCTTTTCCAAAGAGTTATTCGCCAAAAAAATATACTCTAAAGAGTAAGTCTGGTGCAAAAACAAGACTATCTCATGGTAGAGTCAAAATTTGCCTTTGACCGTAACATCAACTAGCATATTTTACATCTAGGGAGGAAAGCTAGATCAACCTAGACCACAATAAAAAAAATGGGGAGTAGTATATAAATAGGTGGTTTGAGATGATGTAAATGTTCTACCTAGAGTTGATTATTTTTTTGATCATGCTGAATGCTTTACACCACTCAAATGAAAAAACTGAACTTTTAGCAAGGGAATAGTGAACAAAAATATTTGTGAAATAGTGTTCAAAAATTGTATGACATTGTAATTGAACAATTTTTTGAAAATTTATACTACAAATATACCAAAACTTTCAATAAATTCAATTAACTTTGTTAGCTAAACGTCATCTAGAATGTGATTCCAATTAGTAATTTTTACTTCTCAATATACAAAGAAGTGAATTCAATGAATATTGAAATTTAAAAACAAATTTTACTATAATTATATTTATTGATTTTTTTGTTGCTGTCATCAGATAAGTCCTGTGACAGCTTCAGGAAAGTCTTGTTCTTATTATTGACAAACTCTGTCCCTATCATAAGATAGTCTTGTTGTTGCAACAGGACTTGGCTTATTGAAGCAACAACACAATGTCTTGTGACTGCAATAGGATGGCCACGTTACTACCACAAAAGTGTCCTGTTCCAGGCACAAAACACTGTTCTCTTAGGAGAACATAGTACTGTCCTCTTGTCTACACAATCCTCTTCCTTCCATATACATCTTGGAGAACTAATCAGGTTGACATGATGAAGAAAGACAGCTTAGTAGTTGTAATTAGTTCTGCAGTTAGTTGGCAACATATTGATTAGTGTCAGTAGAATATTTTTTCTGATATAAATTGTTCACACCTAAAATCATTAACAATCATCTTTGATGAAATAATTCTGCATTAGATTATTTTGCATCAACTTTAAATGAAGTAAACAGGAAAATTGAGTTGAAAAAATTCTCTATAGCTAGAGAATAAAAATCACACTCTGTTGTATCATGAAGCGATAGGATGCCAATCAACAAGCAATAAAGGCAAAACGTTATGTAGTGTATCTCAAATTTTAATCATTGATTGATCCATTGTAATCGGAGTTAGATAGATATTTGGATATATCTTACAAAGGGAGAATTTGGAAATAAAATATTTTCACTTCGAAAATGTACTTTTGAAATGGAATTGTTTTTCAGGCAGAATTACAATTGATGAACATGAAAAGTTCAATTTGTTATGCTTCAATAAAAAATGGGATTTCATGACAAACGATTTGTGGCTATTTGAAGTTGAGTGGTTTTACATTGCTTTGTTGTTTATCATGAACATTCGATACAATTCATTGATTGCTTATAATATTATTCTCATGGGTTTACAATTTTTGTTTTTGAAAATCATATTACTAAAAATCAAGCAGAATAATGTTTGCAGTAGGGACAATAAAAAATTTAGTAGTTTACAAATAGTTTCTTCTTGATGTATAAAACATTTTATTTAAAAAAACTTGGATGCCAATTTTCAAGTACCCCTGATACAATAGCCTTAGAAAAATACTTGAATGTTATTGGTGAAAATTCCTACATTAATTGTGATATATAATCATGACAATCTAAAAGCTAAGAATTATTTTGACTTACAGACATACATAAAATCATAGTCTTTAAAGTTAAAACATCTCTGTTATTGTATCAAAGTTCAAAAAATGAATAACTTTGGAAAAAGAAGAATAGAATACTGAAAAGAGCAGTACTTTTTTATTCGTTAATTTCAAAAGCCAAATGAATGTAAACTTTAACGATTGTAAAAAGGTTCTAAAGCATGCAAATAAGAAGAAAATTACGATAGATAAATTTACATTTGCCTTTCCTGTTGAATTATTTTCACTTTTCAAATTTTTCAACCTTATTTTTATCACATAAAAACGCTATTTACATAAAGTTTCGTATTTTAGATTTTCAATATTGAATGTAAAGAACCTGATAAATTCTTGAATCATAGCTTGATAATGGATTATTTGTGAATTTTACAAAGGGCACTCGTGTCATCTTGAAAATAGCTAAATCTTTCTAAAGTAATAAAATTTACGAGATCAATAAAGTTGGTAGTTCTTCTGTTCGCATGTATTACTTGAGAATGGATAATAAAATGGAAAAACTCCAACTGAATAAAAGAATACACTTCTGGTTCATTGGGATACAAAAGTAAGGTCAGTTACTGAGTTTTGTACGAGCATTTATGGTGAAAAAACTTTAATTATAATGAAAAATGCTGCTCTTTTCAATAGTGACAGGTAAAAATTTGAATACTGAGCAGTCATGCATGAAATTATCGTAAAAAAATGTACTTCTTTAGAATACAAATGCTTTCGTCGCAGTATATAATCTTTTATAATTACATTATGCATTTGCAATTTTTTATTCAACCAATGGTACTTTTAAGATTAATAACTGTCAAGTTTTATTTTTTATAAATCAATATAAAATTAAATTAAAAAAGGTATTAATTATTTTTCCAGTTCCATTACTAGTAAATGAAGTAAATTTTTAATTTGATAAAACTCGTTCAGTGTATTTTTTGTATCCACAAATACCTGGTGATGAAGAAAAGAGAGAAATTTGATCAACTTTTTCTGAAGCAAAAAAATTCAAAAAAATTTATTCGTAAAAAAACTCCAATATTATTTTCATTTCAAATAGAAAAAAAAACCATAACCAGGTCAATTTAATTTATAACTCTCAATATCTCAATCCTCCTTCACTATCTCTCGATAGATAAAAACATTAAAAATGATCTAATTAAACGAATTTTTTCCTGTATATCAAATTTCCAAGATCAGATTATTGTTCTCCCCTTAAGATGACGATTAATGGCATCCGACTAATTCCAGATCACATGAAAAAATATTTCGTTATTTTTAAACGACGTACATTCATCTTTCATGTGCGTGAGTATACCACCAACACCACTATCCTTGAACTGAAGAAACATTGTTGATTTACGATACTCTAGCAATGAAAATGATTATCTTACATCTTCATACTCTATAAAATCAGCTGTCAAAAATAGAAGATTAAGTTGGAGACGATCAATTACTTGATTCTAGAGGTGATGTTTATTTCTCTTTTTCTGGTGATAGAGCATCTGAATCAATTGAAATAGAATGAAACAAAAAAAAAACCATTGGGGAAATTTGAAAAGTGTAGAAGAGGGTTTCCAATTGCCAAATAGAGAGGATCTCAAAATATTAAAGGAAGAAGTAGCTTTTGAGGTAAAACTTGAATACAAAAGGCAAAGGAAGAATTCCAAGTTTTAATATGATCTTGAAGTAACATGAAACTTGATTTTCTTATATAATTATCCAGTGGCTTTACTGTTATTGAACTCCATTTTATCAACAAAAGATGGCTCATTATGATATTGCATTCACATTTTTCAAGCAATTTGCCATTTTTATCACTCAATTATGTTCTATCCTTTATTCTTCAATTAACACGACAGCTTTAATTAAATCCAGAACTGTTAAATTTCAACAGCTGATAAGAATTACGTTTTACCATTTAATTTAAATTCTACACGCTTTATACTATTGTCAGGTATTTATGTCCATTATCACTATTAATGTCATATGGTAAAATGATTGTTAACGGCGCGTTAGGTAAAACGACATATGAAGTCTGAATCATAAAAATTGTGTTTTCGAATTGGATTAATTATCGAAATGACTTGAATGTTTTCTTATCACCTTCCATACTACGGATAAAGTAACGAGATTCTGCTTTTTATGTTTGCGATACCTTCATAAGGCGACGAATAAATCTAAGATTGACATTTCAAGTTGAAAACATTTACGTCAACAATGGATCTGATCATTTTTCTAGTTGTTCTTATTATTTCCCAGGTATAAATAATTGTTTTTTTCTATCTATTAACTTAAGACCAAATTATTATATACTTTGAACTTCATTCGACATTTTAATTCAAATATTTTTTTAAATCATTAGTGTGTAGCTTATCGTGGAGGTTGTGATTCTGATGATTATTATCAAGACCGTCATCGAGGGATAAGACGGCATTACCAACAATCTGAACTATCTCCTGAAGAACTGCTTCTTCATTCTGCTTCTCTGGGGTCAGAAGATGCCCTTGATGCTGAAGATAGTTCAGTTATTCAGGAATCAAGTGAGTCCAATGAAGCACCTCTGGTAGTACTACCAACAAAAACTCCTCGATTAAGTAAAACAAGGTACTCGAAATGGATGTCCCACTACTTACCGAAGAATCTGCAAAACCTAGGCTACAAGGTAATAGGTAAAAAAGCTGGCAGGTATGGAAAATTAATTCTTTTAGCTCCAAAAGCAAGCAATCATTTTGTGAATAAAGACGATTCAGTAATTACTGTTAATGGTAATGAAATAGGCTATCCTGAATTATTGTCAGAAACAGATGATTATAACTCATTAGATTTAGGAGGGTCTAATGGTGTTAAAGAGTTGAGTTTGAATAGGAGAGGGTTTATAATTGCAAATAATCCTAGTGAATATCATACTGCACGATCAATTCACCACAGAAGGAATTTATATGGTGGTCATTCTCTTGATTCAGTATTTAAAGCAAGAAGAACTCTGTCAAGATCTAGAAGTCATGTTAATGAAGATCTCCTTGAGTCTGATCATTTAAGCTCTGGTCCTACAGTAATAGTGAGTGCTAGATCTGACACTGATGATGAATCAGATAATGAAAATCAGAATACCAATGTAAACACAAATGCAAATATCAACGAATTACCTAGTGACTTTATTCTCCCGGCAAGAAGAAATGCATTAAATGCTGAAGCAGAAGATGAAGAAGTTAGTGACATTGTGTCTAATGATAATGACTTGAGTCAAACAAAGAGAACTGGTCCAACAATAATTGTCGCAGCTCGTCGAAAATTAGAAGAAGCTAAAAATCAAAATGTAAATGTCAACACTAATGTGAATGCTGAAAATGCTAGTCCTACTGTAATAGTAGGTGCTAGACGAAATATACAAGATGTTGAAGGACAAATGACGACCAATGATATCGACGATATTGCTGAAGATGAAGCAACTTCAACAATTGGGAAATTATTTAATAGCCAACCAGATGAAAATTTAAACAAAAATGTCAATGTAAATACCAATGTTAATGCTAATGGCGAAGGTAGTCCAAATGTAATCATTAGCGCAAGAAGGAGTGCACATAAAACTGAAGCAAGATATGGTTCAAGAAGAACTGGTGATGATAATGAAGTAATTGGTGCAAAACAAAATAATAACAACAATATAAATGTAAATACGAATGTAAATTCTGAGAATGGAGAAGGTGGCCCAGAAATACTAATTGCTGGAAGAAGGAACGCATTTAAAGCTGATGCAAGATATGGAGCTAGAAGCAATGTTGGCCGCAGTCATGAATTAAACGCTGCACGGAGAAATAATAATAAGAATGTCAATGTTAATACCAACGTGAATACAGATGGTGAAGGTAATCCAGAAGTGATAGTTGCTGCTAGAAAACGTAACCTTAAAGGTGAAGCAGGATATGGTGCTAGAAGCCAAGGTGGAAGAAGTAGTAGTGCTAGTAATAATGGTATCTTCAGTCTGAGAGGAGATCTTAACGCTCCTGATATTTTTGGTAGAAGAAATAATAATGGAAATACAAACACAAATTCAAATGTTAATGTTAATGTGAATGCTGAAGATGTTGGAGGTCCTTCATCTCTATTAGGTGCTGCCAGAAGACGACTATCAGCTCTAAGTGAAGAAAATAATTTACAAAGAATCTTAGGATTCCCACGACCAGGTCGTCGTTCTCAACATCGTGCTCCTAAAAATGAAAATCGTAATGTTAATATAAATGTGAATCGACTTGAAAGTGATGAAGCTTAAAAAGATAATTGAATATTGAAAATGTATTAATGTCATATATTTTTTATCACGTTAAATGTCTACTATTAAATATAATAAAAATAATAAATACTGATTTATTTGGATGTATTACTTTCATCAATATCAGGTAATAATTAACAGTTCATGTAATTTTTTCATATCAGTATCAATGAATCAATTTAATTATTTAAAATTACATTTATTTATAATTAAATTAAATCAAAGATCGTTGGATAAATTTATATGTTTTTTGTTAATTTTAAAATTTGTAGAAATAATGGAATTTAATTATGAAAGTTATATTTATTGTAAAATCGTTTTAAATATAAAGCTATATTAAATAGGTTGAATAAATGATTACATTTCAATAATCATTATATTTGATATTTATTTATTATTATATCAATACAACTCATTCAGAAATAAATCATGCAATTCCATTCAAATAATACCTGGAGATTGATTTTTAAATTCTTTCATTAATGTCTGAATTTTAAAGCTGATACTGCTTTCATAGTTATACTAAATACAAATCTTTTTTACATTCTTGGCAATCCCAATAGTCCTTTTCCAAGAAGTGATGGGTGATGCATACCCATATCATGATTGATATTAATATTAGTATTAGCATTTTCATTTTCATTCAATTGAGTTTGTTGTGGAGCAATCACTGGTATTGGTGACGGAGCACTGAAGGTTGTTGGAGCATACGGTACGGCTGATGCAGATCCATATGCTAGAGCACCGACATCACTAAATCCTGGACTCAACGGTGGACTGTAACTAATGGGTGATATGCCTCCTTGCATACCACCTACACCAAATGCAGATGTCATTCCTCCACTAGGATAAATTGGCATACTAGCCCCGAAACCTTGCGGATAAGAGGAATAGGGCGCAACAGAACCCATTGAAGGGTCCACAAGAGGATTGTATGTTAGTCCGGGTCGATATCCGTAGCCTGGTACTAAAGGCAGAGGTCTATAGTTTAATGAAATGAATCAAACTTTTGCACAATGAAGCCTTTTGAGCTCTAGGTAGATTACCATTGCCATAGGCTGTACCAACACCATAAGCACTTGCTCCAGGTGTGTAACTTGGTGAATAACTTCCAGCCCATCCCATACCAACTGCTTCTGTTCCACCATATCCTGAGGGTCCTCTGCTACCTGCTAGAGCAGCTCCCATTGCACCACTACCTAAATACTGACCAGTACATCTCGTGGCCAGCTTGAAATAAAATTATTATGAGTATTATCACCGTAAAATGATGCTGTTCTTTTGATAGTGCAAAGTTTATTGAGTATTAAAACAAATATTACCTGGCTTAGTGTCGACAAAATGAGAACAATTACTGTAGGTACTTTCATATTGTTTTATGAATCACAGCCAAAAGCTGAAGTAACTACGTTTCTTGCTGCAATGAGTTTTTATATCTCAGCGAGCTGTTTTTTATTATTAATAACTAATCAGTTAACTCATGAACTAAAACTTTAGCCATTGAAAAATTTTCCAAGTGTTTTAAAAGTTTTTAATTTATCAATTTAAGTTTTGCAAATAATAAGTTTTCTTGTTAGCTACAGTGAAGTAGTTAATGATAACAGCTCAGTGTTACGTTAATTGAAAAATAACTCACATTATAATTAAAAGCTAATAAAAAAATATTTTCGAAAAATATTTAGCTATTATTCATCAGTAAATTTTATGCCTGGAATATCAAACAATTTAATGGAAAAAAATTTATATTTAATAAAAAAAATCATTTTTAGTATCTAGATCTTTTTTATGAAATATTCATAAAATATTTTTATGAATTTTATCGTGATATCGAGAATGTAATGGCAGTTATCCAATCGTTATTGCAATATCTTAAAACACAAACAAATAAAATTTACATGCTGAAATGAGCTTCAACAGACGTTTTACAAGCTTAATAAAATAAATAAAATTGACTGATCAATATAATAATGTCTATAAGTAACGACATGTAGAAAAAACAAAATTGCTTGCAGTCTCTGAGAATTCCATTCTGTAGAATAACTAATCCGTGAACATCGGTATTATATCGTGTATTATCCCCCATTCAATATTTCTTTAACATCTCTTTTTATGATTCGTCATGCTGACTCGACCTCTATCATCAATTTTCCTTATCCTTACCGAGATATAGAAGCTTAAAACGTGGCTTCAAATAGCACTGTTATATATATATAATAATTCTTGAAATCTTTATTTATGCAATCGATTTCTCAAGAAGATATACCCATTAATATTAAAACTAATATTAATATAATATATAATGTAATAGATAGAGATTCAGATAAATATTATGTGATTTTTATTTTGGAGATTCACAAAGTCAAGAGTTCTTTTCAATGCTCAACCTCAAATGTTTTCAAGCAAAAGTTACAAGAGAATAGGTTGGCATAAAATTGCTGAAACTACCTTCAATTCCTGTATTTGCTTTAGTCTTTACCGCACATTTCCACTTGACTTCCATTTTCATTTGTATTGTAGCTTTCGTTTTAGTTTCCTACCTTTTCAGTGTTTTTGTCTTCATATTCCAGGTAAAGTGAGTAAACAAAAGAGGTTGTTGTGATTATTAATTCATCAAAGAACATTTATGATGGTCATTTTATCATACCAATTATAAATAATTTACTTAATTCAATTTTTTCTCAAAACTTCATTCATCATTTAAATAACCACTTACTTGGAAATAAAAAGTACTTTTTTTTATTCAAATATTAAAGACACTCCATTTTTTTAGATTCTAATTCTAAAAATAAATCAAACTGATTATTCTAAACTTGATTATAATCTTTCATTGACTTTCCTTCATTAAAATATGAGTACATCTCACTGACTTATGATTAAAAATAGCATTCTGCTGAGTAATTGATGCTTCTACTGTTGAATGATATCAAATAAAATAAGATTAGTGACTATTTATTCAAAAAGTCACAATGTAAAATTGATTTACCATCTGACATTTGACATTAGTCGAATGCATGGATTCGTAGAAATTGATGGATTATATAAATTTAGAATCGATACAAGTTTAGAATGAAGAAACTCAATATTCTGTCGTATTTTGAGGGTAAATACGTAAACGGTAAATATCAAGGAAGATTCAAACTTGATCTTTAACTTTTTATATTGATAGCATCTCTATTGAATCTCTTTGGGTGCATCAGAAAGTTATTCAGATACACCTTGGTGCTATCAATTTAGTTGTATCACTATCTGTACATTACTGATGTTAGGAAGCTATTAAAACTTCTAATGAGATTCTTTTGCATGCAAATATTTTATTTACTCGAATATTTAATTATTCATCAACGATTTTTTTTTTTATAAAAATCAACAGATAGAAAAAATTTATCAATTAAAAAAAAAACAAATATTGTATTATTCGTTTTATAAATTAGGTTGAATAAATAATATTCAATTACTAATAAAGAAAAATACTGTTTAAATATTTAAAAAAAATATTGATATATAAAACACGATGCATTAGATTTGAGTGTTAATATTCAACCCCCATAGAATAACTGAAACCTTTATTTGAATATTTTGATAACAATTATCATTGAAGGTCTTGAAAGTTAGCATATTGACATAAATGCACATCGTTAACGTCTCTTACAAATAGTTATTACTGTAGAATAATTTTGTTTTAAATAAATATGTATGTAGCAAGTTTCAAATGAATGTTTGTGTTATTAGATACATTAAAGGGTATTATCTGAGTTCATGTACTCATATAACAAACGTTAATTTCAAGATGTTTTGCACTCTATTCTACTTCATCCTAGTATGATGATAATTTTCTGGAGAATTAAGATCTACCTTAGACATATGTGAGATCTTCAACATCATTTCTATTTCTTAGTTTATTTTGAATATTATGTTAAGCATAAGATAATTAACATAATTTTTAAAACTACATTTTTTTATTAATTAACACTAATTTGAATAAATGGTTGAATAATTTTATTCAAAAACCTTTTAAAGTCATGTTTGAGAAGTAGAACGAGAGTTAGCTTCATGTAATTGATGTTAATTTATTATGTAGCATATGTATAATATTCCCTTTTGTTTATATTCCTTTGTCAAATTCAAATTAATAACAGTAAAGCTTTAGTCAACATTTTTGAATTGTATACATAACTTGAAATAGGTAAACTTACTTGAGACCTTTAACTATTAACTTGTTACAAACTGCACAAAATTATCTAGTTCATATTCGGTAAACGACTAAAGTTTCATGCTCGGTTTACTCTCTTTAAGAAAAAGAAGTTTCGTCTTCCACAATTTCACTTGCGTATTAGAGTTTCTAGTTTGTATACTAACGGCTTATTAATCATTCTACGATATTAAACTATTATTAGCATAATGTATTAGATAGAAATTTAGACTAACTTTGTCTCCAACTTCTTTCGATAGTGTGTCTTTGTAAATAAAGATAAAAATACTTTGAAAATCAAAAGTGAATAAATTTATACAGAAATTTTTATTCAAGACAAAAAAAGTGTTCTGAAAGACTATCTTCAACCGTTTATTTAAAAAATAAGTTAAATAATTCTCCAAAGTATTGATGTAATGATGACAAAATGTCTTTCAAGTAGAATAGCCTGATTTTGTTCGGACATTTGATGTTGATTTTTTTGTTTGCTTTTGTGAGTGAAAGGAAGGTAATAATTGCTATCAATAATGTTTCGTTATATCTAATGAATAGAATGAGCAGTAAAATAGCAGTAAAATGTTAAGGGTAGTTATTGGTACTAAGGGTAGTTACTATCTCTTGTTTTGACCAATCAATTCTACATTGAACATATTGAGCAATAATCGTTAGCACAATTTACTTTATTGGTCTACATTACTCAGAAACAGAGTATTGTAAACATTTGATTTATTCTTTATTCCCATGATTAAAAGTCATGTGAGATTAATTATTTAAAAAATAATTCATTATTATTTTTCAAATTTTCAGTAAACGGAGAGAATTTTTTTATTGTTCAGAAGTAAAAACAATGAGAAGGATACGATTCGACGTTTAGAAGTAAAGTGTGTGTACACAGAAGTAAATTTTGACTCACTGTAAGTAAAATTCACTTCTGTACACACACATTTATACTTCTAAACATCGAATGGTGTACTTCTATTCTCATTGTTTTTACTTCTGAACAGTAAAAAAATTTTCTCTGTGCAAAACAATTATAAGTACACATTTGAAAACATAGAAGTAAAAATTTTTTATCTAACAATGAATTTTGAGTTCTTGTCAGTAAACTTGACTCAAAAATATTTTTACTTCTGAATGTGTATTTATTATTTTTTTTTATTTATGATTAGGAAAAAAATTATCTCCAGTGCTATAAATCTCTACTATACTGTTTTATCCCATAAAAAATAATCTAGTTACTGATCATTTTTAAGTTTTTATCAATAAGCCATTATTATGATTAAATATAATATTTTTTAGTGTTATAAATAATAAAATGGATAAGCTGACCTATCATAATATTTCCCCCATGCACAGTGAATATAAAATTAAGGAAGGTCAATCATGAAAAATAGTACCATGTAGGGAATAATAATATCAAAATACTATTACAAGAAAAATAATACAGTAGAATCTTTATGATATGGTCAGGTAGGGAAGATGAATGTTCGATCAGCCATCTTTGACACTGAGAATGGTTTATAATGGTAATTATCTAAAATTTAGAGCCTCGAGCAGACTACATTATGGAGGCTTATATCAAATTTATCTTTTTTAATAAACTCAGTAAGAAGTAGAGTTGATTATTAAACTTCTCAAAATTTAACTAGCTCATTCCTCAAGAATATTTTTAATTATTTTATGTTTAATGTCACTCCTATCAGAATTTTGAACAATGATTTAAATTGAACAATCGATTTTAACCAAAAAGTGACATTGATTTGCCACTTTAGATCATTTTTACATTGAAGTTTTGATTTTTATTGAATAATCAAACCTACTTGGGTTACCTAAACAAGGTTACACAATGGATCCATCATTAGCTACATAACTAGTAACCAGTGATGAGAAATAAGTGGGTCATGACTGGATGATACCCCTAATTTAGCAGACCTTGTTTGATCAAACAAGTTACAAATTCTATTTAAAATTCAAAATCTTTAACTTGTATTAAAAGACCTTTTATGTCAAATTGTTAAAGTTTTAACTCAACTCAAAGTATCCCATAAATTTTAATGACTAATAAGAGGGTGTTTTAATGAACTAACAGACAATTCCATCAATAAAATGATCTTATAAAGACTTCATTTTTTTGTTTATTACTTAAGGAACCCTAAACATTTTAACCATTTAAATTGTTTTACTTAATTACTTACTATCAAAATTATAAATAAAAAATTTAACCGTTAATTATCACAGCTATTTCGGGATAATTAGTAACGCATACGTCGTCTAATGGCGCAATAATTTGTCCCTGTAGTTTGGATAATTACCGGAGATGAATGATTAAGTTATGGCATCGGATGGATGATATAAGGATGAGACCTACTGAAGCGTCTAAAGATTTTACGTGGATATAATCACGATAGGGAGTGTAACTCAATCACGTAGGCAAGTGTTCAGGTTAATACATAATGCTGAACATATGTCCAAGCTAATATCTTCTCCCTTAATAAATAACTTGTATCATAAAACATTAATTACATCCTTAATGATACTTGATCATCAAAGCCATTGGAATAAAATATTTTCTCATAAAGTAAAAAAGAGTTAATTAATTCAATGATTAAAAATATACTTGAATCAGAATTAAGTAGTTGAGTTTTACTTTGATGAATACATTCCCAAATAAATATATTAAAGTAGAACAAATTTTTATTCCAAGTTATATTTAAAATAATGTTGAACAAATTTTAAGTTTATTTCAAGCAAAAATTTTATTCATAAGAGAATTATTAATTATTAAAAATTAAAGTCTTTAAAACTTTACTCAGAATTGTTTAGCTGTTATTTAAAGATATCTTGATAAACATTTGATATGTATTTATCAAATAGATTCCAGAAATAATTGGCAAAGAATTTATCGAAATTCTTACATGTCATACAGGAATTTATCGTGTATAAAATAAATAGCTATTAGATTTCAATGGAGATCGATGAGTCTATTTTTCATACATCAATTTTATATGAATAAATAACTCAAACAAAAAGTATGCATCAAATTGACATACAAAACATCTCTGATATTAAATTTATCAGATCTACCCTACATACATAAATTAATTCAACCTCTAAAGTCATTCTAAAATCTAGAAAATTTTTTGCAATGCCAATGTAAATAATTTCATCAGCATTTATGAGAACCCTAAAAAACCCCCAAGGATCTTGTAATTTATTCAAGTGTTGAATTAATTATTTTGAATATTGTTTTTCTAGAATATATTTAAACTTCAGAACTTTGCAAATGACTCATTATTTTTTTTGTAAAGTAAATAAAGGATATTTTAATTGGAAAAAAAGCAATTACTTAAACAAAAGAATATATGTTAACTTGTTTAATTTTATTTTTATTCAATCACAATAACCCAATTATATAACCATCATCATTAACATCACCACCATTTATTGAATAACATTATGAGGTTTAAAACCAACGTCCAGATGCTGCATTAACATTAGTATTAGCGTTGGAATTGGAATTATCATTGCTGGAGGCAGGCATCATGGGTTGCATTGGATGTGGGTACACCATTGGTGGAGGAGCATAGCCTCCAATAGCTGGTTGTCCATATGGATTCCAATATTGGCCCTACAAGTTGAATGAGTATTACATAAATGAATAAATAAATAGATTATTCTTGGGATTGCGAAAATGTCTATCTTACCTGAACAGCTGCCAACATAACAACAAGAGCGAAAATCACAGCTTTCATGTTTGTTTTGTTAGGAATTATTTTCTGAACTATTCTCAGCAAAGTTTCTGATGTCTCAAGAGATGACTGACAACTCAGTGAATTGTGTTTGGGTTTAAATACTTTTCACATATAGTCACCTCAGTAATTGTTTGCACAAATTTCATTTATCTTACTTGTCAGCACACGCAAGTATATTACAGTTCAGAAAGTACGATCTATAAATCTTCCATGTTATTACCCGTGACTGACAAACTTTGCGTATCGCACGCATTTGGAACTTGTTTGTATGGTTATTAAGCGTTAAGACTGTAATTGTTTAAGTTTTTTGTTTGATTTTGTTCAAGTTTACTTTTTATTTCTCTCGTCATAAATCACTGTCTATGGAATGAACAAGTTTTATAACCCACTTGATTGATTCTAGATGTTTTCAATAATATTTTCAGGTTTATATTCAATTTTTTTTTTCTTTTAAATTTGTGCTAAATAATTAAAGAGATCAAAGTCGTTTGGCAAAATATTTTAGTACAGAAGTAAATGGAATCCATTTTTAACAGATCTTATAACTTCTAGGATCTCCAATGTATTTTATAAATTTCAATGAATATTTACATCTTGATCATAACACAGTCATGGACTAGTCCTAGCAGAGGTGTATTAGAGCATGCTGAGCTATCATTAGGATCTATTAGACTTGACAGGATGTGTCATATTATGATATTCAATATAAGAACCTGATCAAAAACCACATGAAGTCTCAGAATAAACCATACTTGATCAGATTTTATCTGACTTTGATGCTTGATGATTGATTTACCCTCCTTACTAAATCCTATTAAATATTGAATTAACTATTGTTGTCATTTTCTAATAAAAATACTAAATTATCTATGATCAACATGCTCATAAAAAAGGAAACAGTTGGTGAATTATTAATGATAGACCAGACAAAGTTCAATACCTGTTTAATTTTACCCAAGTTTCATAAAACAGTCTCATCAAAATTTCATGTTTGAAAATGTTACATATTTGATAGATATATTTTAAAGTTTCTAGCATTATAGCTATGTTCCTTAGGTATTGGCCCAAATAATGTTTTTCTTAGAAGTGTCATCAGTATGACTATTCAAAGAATGTCATTAATTGACAAAACATCAATTAACAACCAAGTCAACTATTTTAATAAAAAGGCTCTGAGATCCAGCTCTAAAAAAGACTTGCTCTATCTGATAACTTTATTGTAAAATATTCATTCTCATATTTCTTACAAGATTCTCAATATTCTATTTCTAACATTTAATCAAAGCTTGAAAATAATTCAATAAAAAATGTATCTACCAAAAGAAGTGTTTTCTTCTTACTATTTTTAATATCGATGTATCAGAATTGTGTCTGTTACTTCAATAAAAAAACATTGTTCTCTTATTTTTCATAAAAAAAACTCTTTCATTCCATGACAATTTTTATTAAAATAGAATTTTTATCAAATAAAATACTTTGTGCAAGCAGTTTCCAGGGGAATTCTTATCATCTTCTACATTTTATGATGATGAAAAATCTGAAATAACACTCGTAAATAACTGAATACTGAGGAACACAATTCTTTAAAAATAAATTCCCACACTTTTCTATATGCAAATCATCGAGATTTGATATTTGCATGAATATCAAATTCACATTATAATAATCACAAACCCAAGTAACTGTGGAAATCAATGATGAAATAGTTAGACTATTATTCGAGCCCATAGTATTGAAAATAGTGAAGCATGTCAGATTGTCGTGTCATTTATTAGCGAAAGAAAGAGAGAATAGTATGAGGTATTACATAAAATTAATGTAAGTAATTAAATCATTGTAACATTAACAAGAGCCATTTTCTCTGTAATTTATCAATCTGATTGATAGTTAGCCTACATAGAGGTAGGTTGATACAATTGTAATATAGGTAAAATGAGTTACTTCTACATTTTAAATGCACGTGGAAGAGCAATTCAATTATTCTCGATTGTTTGATTTCATTTTTACACTCTGTTACATGGATGAATTTCATTTAAACAGATATCAATTAATGCTTTAAATGGAAATGAAATGACACGTTTTTTAATAAGAGTTTTTAATTAATTAAAAATTTATATAATATTTGCATCAATAATCAATAAATAATAACAATTAAATTAATAAACAAAAAAAAAAATATCATCAACAAAATAAAGTCTTGTAATTTAGAAAAATTCATAAATTTCTGTCAGAATACTCATGCATTAGGTACTTGATTTGTTGCTTGATAAATTCAGTAAAAAAGAAATAAAAAATAGTACAAAACAAATCTCATAATAGATACAGTTTTTAATTAAAACTTTTTCAATCAGTTGAATTGCTAGATAATTATTATTAATTTTTATTCTGCTTCTCGAACAATTATAAACTTTTTTTAACGTGATAATAAATATTTGATTTACGATTTTATTAACTTCATATGTTAGTTAATCATTTTATAAAGGTTATAAAAAACGAAAGAATTGTATTTCACTTAGTTTTATTTTAACTTCAAAGTAGTCAGGTACACTAGAGAAAAGTTGAAAATGATTCTCGGTCTTTTTGTATTCTTGGCATCTATTGCTGCAGGTTTGGCTCAGGTACTAAAAAATTTTTTCTTCTTCTTTATTTCATCAATAAGAAAATTTAAAAATAATCTTTCACAAATCTTGAAAAAAAATGCAAAATAAATGTTGTTTTTCTTCAAGTATTTTTTATTTTTAGTATTTTCCTGGCGTAGGAGCACCAATGGTTGGTTATGGACCACCGGGAGTTCGGGTTCCCGGAACTTTATATCCTGGGGGACCTAATTATTACCCTGGTGCTTTTCCACCCTCACCCCAGCCATATTCTGCTATGGCAATAGGTGCAGCTAGTGCTGGAGTTAATGCCCCAATGGCACCAGCTCCTTTACCCATACCGATATCAGCAAGCGAAAATGCCAATGAAAATGCTAATACCAACGTTAACATCAATGCAGGCTCCTACAGAAGAAGCCTTCATATGCCTAGTAAAGAGTAAGATTATTTTTAACAGAAAATAGTTAACAGTTGGAATTAATTATATTGCTATGTTTTCAATTGATTACTTTTGTTTTTAGAAGTTCTGCTAACAGAAATTCCAACTCTAACAACAATATAAATGCATAGAGCAAGAAACACGAAGGTGTACATTCAATTGCTGCTAAATTTCAACCTTCACAAGTAGAAATGAATTGCTATCTTTAGTTACTCGAATATCAATGCTTTATTTCTGTAATAATATATTATTATTAAATTAAATAATACATTTAAAATTATTGTGGAAAATAAAATTCACTTAGTGTTCTAGATATTAATTATATCTACCACTAATATGTTAATAAAATCAATTTTTTTCAACTATTTCTCTTCTAATAAAATAACAAAAGTATTTTAAAAATTATTAAACATTGAATTTAATTAAAAATTAAAAATTATAAATCTAATAATAAAACATCAAACATTGACAGTGTTGATAAAGTTGGCTAAATTATTTAATTCAAAGTATTTTTATGCCAACTTCAAGTTAGGTTTGAAATAAAATATGATTATAATTTTTATTAAATCATTTTTAAATACATATCCAGAAGAGATATTTATAAAATATAAATGCAGAGTTGGATTTGCTAATTTTTTAAATCATTTAATAGATGAAGATAAATATTTAAAGTTGAGAAGTTTATGAAAATTGAATGATATAATAAAACACAGGTATAAATCCGTATTCAATGAATGTTAAATCTTCATGAAATATTTAAAAGAACGTTTTTCGAAAGTAGTATTAAAAAAAATTAAATATTTACTGAGTCTTTAATTAGTACAGGTACCTTAAATCCACAGCAAATATTTTATCAGTTCTCGACAAGCTTGAATAGTGTTCAATTTCAACCCGGAAATTTTATGTCACACAATCTAAAGGTTAAAAGACAGACGAACATTCTTAGGAAATTACATAATACTCTTATGTTTCCTTCTTATATGTACAATTATCATTGAACTTGAAAAATATTATTCCATCTGCATTCTTGATATTTCTTCTTCTTTTTTACTCACAATAAATTTTTCTCAATCATTTAAATACATTACTTGAAAAAAAAATTTAAATATTTTTTTTTTTTAGCAAAACAATTGATTCAAAAATTTTATTCCTATAACGATGTCATAATTTTTCAACAGAGAATAAACGACAGTCGTTTGTGAATAAGTAAATAAGATTTCAAGATTGTAGTATGAGTAAAAAAAATAAGTTATGAGCTGTTTGTCCCTCGAGGATCAACCTCAAGCATCTTGTCTTGAATATTTTTCACACATTTTTTTCAAAATTCATGATAAAATGTACGTGACAAAAATTTGATCCAATGATACTTCGAAAATAGCCGAATAAATTTAGATTTAGGATTTCTTTTTCATAATGTTCTGAAGATAACTTCAATCTGACTGGTTTCCAATGAATTGAAAAAAAAAAAATATTCTCTCTGGACAAAAGGTTATTGTCATGAAACCGATTTCTTTTAAAGTCTAATCAGTTTTAAACTACGTTGAGACGTATCGATCAATAGCTTAACAACTTAAATTGATCATACTTTTCTATTCAAAAACTTTTCGACTAAAAATCGTCTTATATACGTTTATATCCTGAATAGATATGGATGTAGACAAAAGTGTTTGAAAAAGACTTTTAAATGATTGGGAAGATCTGTAAACGTAAAGATTTTATAATACTTTTTTTCGATATTCAGATCTATTAGATTGAAAAAAAATTCCATCTCTCACGATAGTTATACTTCCTGGAAATATTCTTGTGTTTGCTTTGGTTAAACAAAATGAAGAATATCTTATTATTCAGAGATCAATTTCTATTGATAGAAAGGTCATTTTTATTCAATAAATTTTTTTTTTACTGTTAATTAATTCAACCTCAGTATTTGCTGTTGAACAAAAAATGATTCACTCAGATAATTTATTTAAAAATAATTATTTTTAAATTTTAAATGTTCCAAAGTATTAAAAACATTTTTTGCAATGAGAAATATTCTATTTAAAGCTTAAAAAAATTCTCTGTGCTGAATAAATAAACTTATTAAAAATATAATTCATGAATTATTGAATTTACTTGAAAAAAAACAGCAATCAAGCATTCATTTATAAGTAAATATAATTTCTGAGTAATTTTTTACAATTAATATGCTAATTATTGATAATTTAAATGAACATAACAAACCCAAGTTTATTTCAAATAAATGATCACCTCAAGCTTTTAATTTTTTACCAAAGTTAAAGTTAAAAATATAAATAAAAAAATGAAACGATAAAAAAAAATTAAAAATTCATTAACTAAAAAAAAAAGAAGAAATAATCTCTTACATATTTTAAAAGTTTAAATTTATATGCATTCAATAATATATGAGTGGTTTTTCTGATAACACAGTTGATCTTTCATAAAACTCGATGCATTCTTTAATCTCAGTACGTCTGTCACCCATTCCCCCGATAAAAAATAATATTCCCACAGGGAAACAGAAACACAGTAGTGCGAAGTGGGATTCGTTGAAGCGCAAGTAGTACAAAGACTGTATGGGCCAGACAAGTCCATGTGGTATATATTATTTTAGTCGATAGAATCATTTCAGGATGAATGAGCACACGAGATTTATGGATCTTTGGCTGGCGAGAGAGAATTTATGAGTACAACTTCAAACTCAAATTCAGTGGTATAGCAACCTCACGAATTTTCATGACTGATTCGATCATATTCAACAATTCGTCGCAAATATTCTCGCTCTGATTTTCTCACATTCTAAAGCCTTAGAATTGCATGTGTGTGGTTGTAACGTGGCATAGAAATCTTGATGGATAAATAACCACCACCGAATACCTATATAGAATTAGAATATGAGAGATCCAGTAAGAAAATTTGCATAAACCCACCTAGAATACTTTATATTCTTGCAAATTCAGCAGAATGTTAAATAATGGTCTTTCTCTTCGCATTCATAATACTTAGATATTGTTTGAAATGAACAGAACATTCAGCCAACACACTTCAGTCTACTAGAAAAAAAGATTGACCTGATCTTTGGTCAACATTTGGCTAACTTTAGGGTAGAATACAATGTCTACTAGACAAGAGAATAATCAATACCTTCTTCAAGATAATTCTTTCATTTCTTATGCTTCAGCTGATCAGTTCAATTGTATAACAATTCAAGCAATACTTGAATTATCTTCCATAATCATCATACTACATGATAGAGCTAAATTTTTAAATCAATTATTTTTATCAAACACAAAAAAAGTTTGGATTCAAATAAACTTTTTTCGTGCTTGAGAAAAAATAGAATAAATTGTATAATAGAGACAAGCTTTGGTTCAGTAAAAATCTAGACTTTTATCCTTTGTGCTTTGTTGGTGTAGTTAAATTGAACATTGATAGGATTCACCAGTTCTCTATTACTTTATATTGTTGAACTGTAATAACATGGTTTCATTAACAACTTTGAATAAACTTCTTAAACCCTCTCCTACTTTCAACTTACTTCAATTATTTTTTTTTATTTACTCATTAAATATTGTTTGGTTTTTTGAATGGTTTTTAATTAGGAATTATCTTTATGTTTGGTATTATTGAAGCCTTGGAAATTTGAGGGAGATTCAATCGGATTAGGTAATACAATCGGTTCTAACATAATTTGAATGATCTCTATGAACATGACAGTATGTATTAAGATCATGTTATCAAAATTATCTATCATGAGGATACAAAGCAATAAAAGCCTGTGAGTATAATAATCATTTATTGAATAATGACAAGAGTAATCAGAAATTCTAGCTCAGAAATATAATAATCAATCTTTGTTGTTATTTAATTAATACTAATTTATTGAAATGAATAGATCTTCATTTTATCCATCATTGATATTCGTATCATCATTCAATTCAATACTCTAGGAGAAATTACAACCTATTGTATTGAGAAACTCCAACTCGAACTTCACTTTTGATTTGAGGTTCCAAATTACTTGATATCATTTTTTGTTCAAAAGGAACCGGAGCAACAGTTGACTCCATCTGATCTTCAGTCAAGTTTGTACCAGGCTAAATTGGTTGATCAAAGACAGCTAACTTGCTACATAGATATAGTGTTAGTTACAAATGAATGCTCCATTAATTTAAAAAATTGGTCACATATTTTTTAATTAAAAACCTTTTAGAAGATATATACACTATGAAATTTGCACATAGAATGGTTTTTAATTGAAACCAGTTAAAAGGTTTTTCTGTTGAATATTTGATTAAAGTAATAGCTGAAAAAATTTCATCATCAAGTTATGGTATATTGAAATCTATTAAAGAAATTGAAAAATACTGTCAAAATCATAAATTAATTCTCTATCAATCATTTTAAGTCTTGACTAAAAATCTAAATTTTTTGAAAAATATTTTTTTAAAAATAAATTTAAATCTTCAACTCAAATACATTATTCTAATTTTTAAAATTTATTACAAGTACTAAATAAAGTAAATTTTAAGATTTTTCAGAGGCATTATGATAAATACAGCTAATTTTTCACCGGAATAGTTATGCTGATTTCAAGCTTGATACCAGATATCTTGTAGCACATCTAAATTTTCTGCTATAAAGAATATCCTTAAACATGGTAAACATAATTTATTATCAACGTTATCACATTTACATAAAAAAAATTTAATGTGCTAAAACCTTTTTATACTTAGAATTCTAGATCCTGAATATATAAATAATAAAATATAATTATTTTTATCATATTATTAAACTTCATCTTGACTACTATTACTCACTAATAAATAATATTCAATAATAAAACTTATCAGTCAGTTTTAAAATGAATTTTTTACAATAAAAAAAAAAAATAATAAAACATCCACCAAATATTCACGACATTATTGGCAATTCTCGTTGAATTATTATATGAAGATGAACAATCAGTTGAATATGGTGGTAACATTGATAGATATTGAGTTGAAAGGACTTTTATAATTCACAAGATAATTGCTACCAAGAGCTGTAGGTAGTAGACTATCTATTATATGTTAGATTTGTTCATGTGTGTATAATTGACATTCAACGAATCTCTTTGATTTTTATTCCAATAACAAACTCTAATAAATGCTAGCCAAACCAACGAGTAGAGTATTTGTAGAGGAGAGAGTATATCATTCAAGAATGATTCGAAATTCATATCAATTTCATCAGAACTATTTTTTATCTTTTCATTCATTTTATTTGAAATCGATTACCATGCCACGAGATCTT